AGGAACAAATGTAATAATCTGAACAATAAAGATTTAATTAAAAAGAAAACTCCATTAATCAAACTTCTAAATTCATTATTAGTGAATTATTTAAATATAGTTAAAATATTTTCAAAGTTGTGAGAAACATAAAGTGAAATTTTATATTTATCTCATAATAGTCACACTTCAGAGACACATTATAAGAATTTTTAAATGAAAGGAAAAAAAAAAAAACACAAAATTTTAATATTTACCTGCAAGGATTAGTAGTAAAAACTGAAAATGGCACTCTTTGCCTGAATTCATTAGTAATGCTTTCAGCAAGTGGTGGCCTATAAAAACAATTTATGTGAAACAGTGTATATTTTTAAACTTTATAAAATTTTCTTTACTGTCACAAAATCTGAATAAAACTTACCTTGGTAAGATGGAACCAAATCCAGGATCCTCTGGACCAGGTACAAACACAAAACGACTACTGTAGCAAAATTCAACATAATTCATTTTAAAAAATTGCAAACCAATCCAATTTTCTAAAAACAAGTTATTGCCTTTAATTAAGTAATAATTTTAAGAGATTTAAAAATTACATGCATTTTAATAAATGAACTACTAAGAGTCTCCAGACCAACATTACCAGTAGACCTTTTGCAATGACATAACTGCACTGTCCAATAACTGAGTGCGTGACCTGTGGCTAGTGCAACTAAATTTTAGATTTTATTTAACTTTAAATAATTTAATTTAAAGAGACACATGTGGCCAGTGACTATCCTATTGAAGAATGAAGCTCTATACTTAGAGCAGGGTGGGGGACCTTTTTTCTACCAAGGGCCATTTGGATATTTATAACATCATTCAAGAACCATACAAAATTATCAGCTTAAAAATTATGTTGCTATGAAAAAAGCTCCTAGATTTATTGAATTTCAAGACCCACCTGTGGTTGCCTTGGCAGGGCCAAATGATATGGCTTCCGGGCCAGAAGTTCCTCACCCCTGACGTAGAGTAATATCACCAAGAAATTCAAAACATGGTTGAAATTGTCACTCACACTTTTAATAGTTTGAACTACAAGTCTCCAGTATAGTGTAACACACATTATCATGATGTGAGGATAATTTATCTCTTAGCTGTACTAATTTCCTCAACTTTTTCTTCTATTCACTTCTTAATAATCACTGATATCAAACATAAGATTCATTTTTTTAAAATAAAATTGTTTAAATAAAAAATATAGCAGTAGAAATCATTACCTTTGGTGAATATTGGGATATTCGCATATTATGTCTGCCAAAGTTTTTAGGGAATCTAAAATTTTAAAGGGATATTAAATTTAATTTATACATAATGCACATAAGAATCAAATTGTTTCATTAGTTAGAACCCTGTATCCTTTGAATAAAATTAAAATATAGATAATTTTTTGTTAGTTTATATAAATATAGAAACATTTATTCAATAGACCCTTAATACCTTTCAAAGCTTGAACTTGGTTTTTTCCATATGGTGCAGATGAAAAATTGCCACACAGAATAAAGCAGGTTGGAGGTGCTGGTGAATAACCTAAAAATATGAGAATAAATATCATTATTTTTCTAATCTACAAGTCAGGTTTAAAAGCCTTTAGCCATGGGTTGTTAATAATAAAAACAATATTTTAATAACTTATTATTTATAAGTAATGGTAATAGTAATAGTAGGTCCAGTGAGCACTTATTATATGCCAGGCCCTGCAATGGGTTGATTAATACCCTCCTGACATCTCTAGAAGCTGAAGAGAAATTAAGTAATCTGCCCAAGGTATTAGGCTGCAATTTATGTCAGACCCCAAGTCCAAGCTCTTGTTCACTCTTATACTATACTTAGGACTAATTCTTATGTACCATGAATACACACACACACACACACAGTTATTTTTCAAATGTAAAAATGTGAGCCTTTAAGATGAACCCACTTAAAATATCTCACTGCTGACTCAAAGTGTTTTTTTAAAATAAACTACTTAAAAAATGTATTTTTTAAGAATTTAGTTTTAAAACATGACCCCTGATAATCGTTCAAAAAAGAATAATAATAATAAAAAAAATGAAACCTACCAGAAAACATGGTGTGAAGTTTTTCCAACACCTCTGCTTGGTCTAACCAAACATCAGATATAAACACAAACATGGCATCTTTATTCTCATCTTCTAGTTGTTTTAGTTTTGCAGAAGTCTTTACAGATGTATTAGAAGGCCCTCCAAAAAAATTAATATTTCCATAGTATGCCCTAGGTAATTATAACACAATTATTATCTTCAATAATCTCTGGAAGATCCTATATAATAAAACACTAATATGCAAATCGACTGAATGGTGAAAGGACCAGCCACTATGACATGCACTGACCACCAGGGGGCAGAAGCTCAATGCAGGAGCTGCCCCCTGGTGGTCAGTGCACTCCCACAGGGGGAGCACTGCTCAGCCAGAAGCTGGGCTCACAGCTGGTGAGTGCCGTGGTGGTGGTGGGAGCCTCTCCTGCCTCCGCTGCAGGCAGGCGGTAAGGAGCAAGGGGTCCCAGACTGCAAGAGGGCGCAGGCCGGGCTGAGGGACTTCCCCCCAGTGCACTAAATTTCGTGCACCGGGCCTCTGGTATTTTTATAATTTTACAAATTAAACTTCTTTCTATCTAATGAGGTTTTTCCTCCCATCAATGTATATAGTACCATGAAAATGTATTATTTGTAGCAAACAAGTTTACTTAAATGTTCTAAAATGAGAAATGTAATACTTATAATATTTTTTTAAAAAGAAAAAAAATAAAAAATTTAAAAAAAAAATAAAATAAAATTCATAATAGGCTATATCTGTGCCTTTTAAAACTAAAGCAAATACTAAAATAAATCATAATTTCCCATGTAGTTGAAAGAAAAATGGGTACTCAATTTGAACAATATCTAATCAAAGTGCTCAAAAAGAGTACTAATTATTTGACCAAACAATTTTACTTCTAATTTGTCCTAAGGGGTAAGAATATCTACAAAGGCTAGCCTACATTCCAGAATTGTGAAAATTTGGAGGTATACTAGAACTAGGTAGCCCTTAGTACACTGTGAGCACTCAGACATGGTAGCTGTTACTGTTGCCACCAATTATACTTGGCATTTTCAAAGGTATGACCTTACAGTTATAATCTAGCAGTTATCAGAGGAATGCAGTAAGTTGATACAATTGTATGCTGACTTCAATTTAATATATACCCAAGCATAAGCCAGAGCATCACAGAAAGAAATACCTATTAAACTGATTCTTCAGAAATTAAAGCTCAGACAAGACTTACTAACATCATCTGTCCATGGTTCATGAAATATAAGGTGCAAGTACAGGATCAAGAGGAAGGCCTGACAGTACATATTATCCTAAGTTGTCAAATTTGAAAAGAAAGAAATATTCTAGAAATTCTAGGATAACAAACCTATATGATATACTGTGCAATGGTGGGAAGGCATTAGGTTAGTATAAATCCTTTTGGGACAGGACCATTATTTGTGCTTATTTGCACATAAAAAAATACTTAATAAAATAACTGTTGCTGAATCCACTGACTACCACCAGAGTTTTATTTGGAAGGTGTTTAAAGAGAAAAGTAATTTATAATCCTAACAGGAATAAAATGATTATTTCATTTTAATGTACTTTGTGACAACTCATACTAGTCTTTGGTGTACTAAACACAGAGATCAGTTCAATTTAGGAAAAAATGGCATAATTTAAATGGAATATTATTTGAGACATTACAATGATAATCTCTTTGCTAAATTGATACAAATGGTAATTCTCATGGCCAGCTTCCTTAATTACACCTCTCATTCTCAAGTAGTAATTTTGAAGCTTGTATGAAACTAAAACACCAAGACAGCAATTCTGATTGAAATGTATTTCAAGGAAACCCTACCAGGTTGTAAAAAGCCACAAACTAGCATTAAAAACATTCACTTAAAAGAGAGCTGGCTTGATGAGGGCTTGTGTTCTCCTTAGTGTGACCAGCATTGTCCCCAAATGACTTCAAAGGAAGAGGGGCTGCACTGCAAAGGCTGCCCTGCCAGTGACTCCCAGCCCGGAGACATGGCCTCTGCACCTGAATTGATACAGGTATGTAGAACTAAAATCTTAATCCTCACACTCCTTTAAATCTTTACCATTACAATAGATTCTAAAGTTAGAATGCAACTTTAATTCCCCCAGAGGTAGCAAACTCAAATGCTGGCAAGGCTTCAAGGAGGAAACACAGATATCAAAGTAGCCGCCAGCTGAGGCTGACTAGGAACGAGCTAGGGTGCACACATATAACCTGCAGTAGGGTTGTAGCTAGGTGAGAATTCAGGCACCATGTTCTCAGATCTGATGGTTCAAGAGAACTCAGAAATCTAGACTTTTATGAGAAATCTATTTTTAAACACTGGAACTAACTCAAAATGTGTTTTAACATCTCAAAGGGGAAAGAAAGGTCTGTAGACAACGTTCAACACACAGCCCACCAGCTATACTTTTATACCATCAGTCAGCCTCTGCTCAAATAGCTCAAATGATAGGAACTCACTCCTCTCAGAGAAGGCCCTTTTGGAATAACTCTAATATTATGGTGCTTTCACTTATATTAAAGAGCTACAGAAGCTGCCTCTTGTAACTTTGACTCAGTAGAATATAAAAACAAGAATTTTATATTATCACTAGAGGCCCGGCGCACAAAATTGTGTGCGGGTACAGTCCCTAGGCCCAGCCTGCGATCAGGGCCATCTTCCCAGGCTGCTGGCAGCTGGCCCTGCCCTCTGCAGCCACCCACCCATTTCACACCCAGTGGTGGGAGCCTGAAGGCCCTGGGGGAGGGACCAAGAGGTCGGCCGCTCATCAGCCCCACCCCCGCCGCCACCGCTGGTCGCCCTCTGTGTGTGGGGCGACAGGCAGGGTGGGGGTCTTAGCCTGGTGCTGCCCACATCCCCCGCCACCCACCCCGGGTCCCAATTCGTCATTGGCAATCGGAGCCTGCTGGCCAGGGAAAGGGACCAAGAGGTGGTCAGTACCTCATAGTGACTGGTCAAGCAGTCGTTCTGCCATTATGGTTGCTGGGCTTTTATTATATAGGATGGCAATTATATTCTCCTAAGTGTTTTTCCTCTCTCTTATCTCAGTTGAACTTCTCATCTACCCTACAGACAAGTAAGACAGTTCAACTGGCAATCTTTTCCAGTTAAAGACAAGTATGGAAATGCTTTTGCAACTGATCTGGAGTCAATCCACTAGTTTTCAGTTACACATACTACCCAGTCTTCTAACTCTAATTTTCCATTGCTCTTTGAGTTCTGACACAAAGCCTGAGGCCTTGTAATAACCGAGATATGATATATCTAACATTCATTACTGTCAGCATTACAAAATTCCTAAAGAGTTTAAGTCAAACATGTTTATACCTAGTAGTGCTAGAGGGCTCAGTGGGTGGAAATCCAAAGGCATTGACATGAAACACCTGATCTTCAAACCAACCTGAAAAAACATAAGTCAAAAATCACTTTCATTTATCCAATTCTTCTTCTTGTTTGAAAGGACAAAACTATAGAACACAAAGCAGTAATACTAGGCTGTCATCTCATCCCTTGTCAACTAACTGCAGAAGTTGCCAGTCCCACTGAGCTAGAAAACAACTTCAGATCCAGAGACAGTCTCAGTTCTATTAAAACAAACAAACAAAAAACCCTCATGAAATAGAAATAGATTCAGAATTGAAACTTTTCATTTTACTCACAATGCATGCGTCAATAAAGAGAGATAAGGTACCCTGATTAGGAAATCTTTTATCTTATGACCCTATGTAAAATCTGTTTTTTTTCAACTTTATTGATATAATTCACATATCATACAATCCACCTTTAAAAGTATATAAAGTAAAAATTTTAGTATATTCACAAGTTGTATAACCATCACCACTGATTTCAGACTGCTTTTATCAACCCAAAAAGAAACCCGTGCCAATTAGCAGACTGAGAGTCATTTTAAGTTGTCAAAAGTATGCTTTTATAATTGCTATTCTCCCAAATTATACCATGTTAACGTATTTTAAACAATGTAAAAATGGTTTTACTGTAGAATGATGAATACTGACTTACCTTCTGCTAAGACAAAGCATGACTCTGTGTATAAACCACTATGGAACTGGTACACACAGTTGAGGAAAATAATTTTATTTCTATGCTTGAGGTAGTGATAGTCAACACACATTTTGGGCCTGACAGGACTTCTAAATAATAATTAAAGACTTCACATTTGAAACTATGGCTAGATCACACCTTAAAAAATTTTAGCTTGAAATGTACCTATGTCTGATTCTAGGACGTAGCCTGGTAATATTGACAGTATAAATCATTCTTGGCATGTTATTAACTCCCTCAGTGATTTGTCTGGACTCTCCAGATAAGAGGGAAGTAGTATTTTTGTCTCTACTTAGGATTGTGTTTCTACAGTAAATTCCTACACCACCACCATATGAAAGTTACACCAGGAAACCAAATAGCTAAATTTGGGAATGATATATAATCAATTTCCCTAACTTGAAGATTTAAAAAAATAAAAGAGAAGGATATAGGTTTAAGAAAATAAAAGTGAAGGATATAGCTTTACTAAGATCCAGTTGTACTGTGCCCGTCGGATCTTCCAGAAAAAATTTTCCCTAAAAACAAATTAAAAGACATATGTCCACAATTATGTAAAAATGAATACAATAATAAAATAATTAAAATACTGACAATTTTGACAACAGAATATAGTAGAGAGTATAGTATACTTAAAAAAATCAACAATTCCTGCCCTAGCTGGTTTGGTTCCTGTGGACTGAAGGGTCCCGGGTTCGATTCCGGTCAAGGGCACATGCCCGGGTTGCGGGCTCAATCCTCAGTAGGGGGCGTGCAGGAGGCAGCTGATCAATGATTCTCTCTCATCATTGATGTTTCTCTCTCTCTTTCCCTCCCCCTTCCTCTCTGAAATCAATAAAAATATATTTTTTTAAAAATCAACAATTCCTAGTCTAGGCTTTTCCATTTACTAATCTGGTGACATCAGACAAACCACTTAACTGAGACTTAGACTTCTAGATACTCAAAGAATGACCACTGAAGATCAAGAGATGGCAAGAGGACACTTGCTGGCTGCCATTGGACCTCACCAGGTGCCTTCACCTAAGAGAGTCAACAGTGTCTCCAAGGGACCAGGATATGGTCTGCAGCTTTGTTTGTTCAGAAACTCAGTACTCTCAGTGCAACCAGAGGTCACTGGGAGACTAACTGCAGACTATGCAATCTGTAGAAGACACTCCTTCCAGATGTCTCCCAGGAAACCAAATACAGATGAAAAGGCTACTTGGTGACTGAGGTATGAACCATCAATGAAGACTGTGCTCCTGCCCAGCAGGTGTGGCTCAGTGGTTGAGTGTTGACCCATGAACCAGAAGGTGATGGTTCGATTCCCAGTCAGGGCACATGCCCAGGTTGTGGGCTCGATCCCCAGTGTGGGGTGTGCAGGAGGCAGCCGATCAATGATTCTCTCTCATCATTAATGTTTCTCTCTCTCTCTCTCTCCCTTCCTCTCTAAAAACAATAAAAATATATATATTTTAAAAAAGACTATGCTCCTGTACCTCTGTAGAGATGCTATATGTAACTGACATTTCATTAATCTGAAGGGTGTACATAAAAGTATGATGCTTATTCAGTTTAACTTACCTCTTTTAACTGTGTTATCATTCCAAGAACAATTACATCTCCAATTTTGGTTGTATTGCCCAATAGGGTTTCTATTGTTTTAAGCTAAAATAAAACAAAATAAATTCTTAAAGATTGAAAATATATTCTTTTAAGAAACGGGAACTGGGAGGAGGGGAGTTATGGGGTGGGAAAAAAAGAAGAGGAACAAATGTAATCTGAACAATAAAGATTTAATTAAAAA